ACTACAGCGTGGTTGGATAGTTCTGGGAGGGCATCCATGGATGTCCTCCCAGAACCAAACCCCCCTTCGGACACAGCTGATCACATGACTAAAGAATGGGCCAATCACAGCCACTTTTACCATGTGACCAGCTGTGTCCAATCACAGCTGATCACATGGTAAATAGTAAATGCCGGTTATCGGCAGTCCTCTCCTCACGCTGACAGCACATGAGGAGAGGAAAGCCGGTAAGCGGCATTTTGCAGGGGGACATTTACAGTGATCATCAGGGCACTGATCATCAGTGTCCTGGTGATCAATGAAGCCCCATCAGTGCGGCCAATAGTGCCCATCAGTGCCCATGTGTGCTGGAAATCAGAGCCCATCAGTTGTATCAGTGCTGCCCCATCAGTGCGGCCAATGACCGGTCTTTATTACAGGAAGAAATACACAAAGCACTCCAGAATTCAAGTAAGAGTACAGTACACATGGTTCTTATATTTAGACAATGTTATGTTATCCCAGAGTTCTGCTCTAGCCAAGGGCAGACTGACCATTTGGAAACTCGGGCACTACCTGAGGGCTCGGGGTCAGTAGGGGCCCCATGAGATGCCCCTGGTACCTTTTTCATAGGCTTTTTTGAGTTTGGGCAAGGTCACAGGGGCCCCATGATCCCCTATTGCCCGGGGGCCCCATGAGTTGTCAGTCCGCCCCTGGCTCTAGCGTTCTTTCACTCTAGGTTTGGTCTCTGAAGATTGATCCGTGTTCAGATCGCTCTACAGAGAACATTTGACAGGCAGCGAGGAGGCAATGTATGACTTCCTGCTTTAAAGTGGTTCTAATACCTAAACGTTCCCTGCATTAAGGTGAAAAATGTTTAGGCATCTGTTTTGGCCCTTCACCCTCACCTTTTACTTACCTGTGCCCTCATTCAATCCAGCTCTGTGCACGGCTGCAGCTTTTCTTTCCCCTCACTTCCAAGTCTCACAGGCCTTGCTGGGGCAATGGGAGCCATTGGCTCATGCTGCTGTCAATCAAAGCTAGAGACAAGGGATCTGTGTCAATGGACACAGTACCGGGTCTCTGGAGTGAGCACACACAAGTGCCCCCATGGGAGGCATCTTCCTATGGGGGCACCTGACAGAAAGGAGGAGCCAGGAGCGCAAGCTGGGGACCCAAGAGGAGGGGGGTTCAGAGCCACTCTGTGCAATACTATTGCTCAGAGCAGGTAAGTATAAAGTTGTTTGCTTTTTTTTTTTAATTTCATTTACAATCACTTTACCTCTTGAACTCTACACTGGTGCAACGCATTTGTGTACATTTCATGCAGTTGCAGGGCACTTATAGAGTGGCCTCATTCACTTGAATAGGCTTTATGCCTGCCGAAAGTGGTAGGGGGTATAAATCCTGCCATAGCCGTGCAGCAAAGCATTGTGGCTGCCGCCTATGTAAACCATTGGCAGCTGCCTCTGCAGCTAAAGTGGGATCAGCTGAGGGGTGGTACAAATGAGGCTCAACCGCTGGGTTTTACTGCCCCTCAACCACTAGTGAGAATGAGCCCTTAAAGAGTTTCTCCTTACAGTTGCAGCTAACTACAATATATCAATTGTTTTCATTACACCTGTTTCAGGTTATTGGCGATGTTAAGAGCTGCTGACAGCAGGTCCCAAGAGCTATTGAGTATTTTTCCTGCAGCAAAAACTTCTAGGATGCACAAGGTATGTCCTGAGTCTTTAGCTAGGAAAAGACAACCAGTCATCATTGGGCTTATGCAAGAATAAATTTGTGGTGAGAAGTTATAGAGGTCCAACAAAGACAACCCTTTGAACAAACTGACATTACAAAATGATCACTACACTAAGCTATAGCAATCGTTATTTGCCATCGTGAGTGTTATTTTAAGCAACAAGAGTCAACAAGTGCTAAAAATAACACTCCTATGGCTAAACATAATGCACACTATGGCAATAATCCATGCTTTATTCTGTAACTTTAGGGAATGAAGCTATTGTCTGCCAACAGTTAAGGGGTCATACCAGTATCAGATAGGAGATCCTAGCTTTAGTCATGCTAGTTTTTGGGGGAATATGCATATTTAATTAGTAAGCCTACACAGTGATAATTCTGTAGGACTGAATATTCAAATTATTTTATAAGACCAACCCTTAAAGCAGTATTAAACCCAAATGCATTTATTATAATGCAGCTTACCAATTTTTAGATGTGGTGGCTGTATTAGGTTTCTTTCTAGGCTTTCGTTCTCTTATCTTCACCTGGTGAACTGACCAGTACATTCATAGTTATTGCAATTATCAGCTTTTATTTATTTATTTGTTTATTTAATTATTAATTAATTATTTAATTAATTAAACCATTTATCCCAAAAGGCAAAAAAAACTATTGCTGTAATGGATTATAAAATGTGGGCTGAAGTGTGACTTCAATTTGTTGGTGTATTGAACTTCTTCCCGCCCGGCCTATTACAATGACGGCTGAGCGGAACCCTATTATCATATGACGTCCTCCCAGGATTGCGCCTCATGTGTGTGCCCCACAGGCTACGTTCCAGCATGATCTGTCACCGGCCGTGTTCACAGGACACGGCCAATGACAGATCACTACACTGGCCCACTGCCAGTGTCACATGATCACTGTGACCAATCACAGCAGATCACATGACAGTTGTAAACAATGAATGGATTCCTTTCATGCCATTCATTGCTTATAACTGTGCTGCAAGCTGTGATTAGTCAAGGTGATTACATGTACAGACTGGGCCAATCACAGATCTGTAGCATGTGATCAGCTATAGCCAATCACAGCTGATCACAAAAACTACTGAATGAATCAGTTTCATTCAGTAAAAATGCTTGCTTATACAATGTAATTTGTTGGTATAAAAAAAAAAAAATCCTAATCACATGCCCTGAGTAGTAAAATGTTACTATGGTACCATTGTATTGCTCTGGTCACAGGAATAGAAAAAAAAATGTAATAAAAATTTTTAATTTTTTTTTAAATTACTTTTTCTTTTTTTACACATACTGTCGCAGTCATTGTCCCTGATCACTGCCTCGCCATTGATATATTGACAGGAAGAATGGTCATCCGCACACCGGAGGATAGATGAATATAGTGTATATTTCTTGATCCGTAGGACACATAAAACACCAGGACATGAATACAGGACCTGTTAACACGTTTCAGACAATCTCATGCTTAATCACAACAAAGTAAACAATAAGAGTGCTGTCTTATATAGGAGTTAGTTAATAAAGAAAACCTGTCCAAATCAGCACTCCTGGATCCTGAGGATATGTCTACTAGTACATAGTACTAGTAACAAAACATCTACATATAAAACCATTGTATCAAAAACACTGGTATCAAAAAACAACAAGGAAGGAAGAAAAGAAAAAAGAAAAACAAAGTGAAATAAAAAGAGAAACAAAGAAAGAGAAAAAGGAATAATGAATAAAAATTATGAAAAAAATAAAAAGGAAAATAAAAAAATGAAATGAACATGCACAAACACAGATAAAAGCAAATAATATCTCAAAAAGATATGGGCCACATCTGTAAAGGATAAAAATTTAAATAATAATATAAATAATATATACAAAAAAAACGCATGTCTACTTGGGATTAGTTTTAATTTTTTCATAATTTTTATTCATTATTCCTTTTTCTCTTCCTTTCTCTTTTTATTCCACTTTGTTTTTTCTTTCTTCCTTCCTTGTTGCTTTTTGATACCACTGCTTTTGATACAATAGTTTTATATGTAGATGTTTTGTTACAATGTACTAGTAGGCATAGCCTCAGGATTCAGGAGTGCTGGTTAGGACAGGTGTTCTTTATTAACTAACGCCTATATAAGACAGCACTCTTGTTGCTTTCTTTGTTATGATTAAGCACAAGATCGCGTTAACAGTTCCAGTATTGATGTCCTGGTGTTTTGTGTGTCCTATGGATCAATAAATATACAGAATATTCATCTATCCTCTGGTGTGCGACTGACCCTTCTTCCTATTGCATCGTGTGTGGTGCGAGCCAGAGTCTGCACCTGTCGTGGATTGGTCTGGATTGTTTGCCTGAGCGGTATACCTTTGTTCTTTGCATTTATATGATGACGCTGTACTGCATTGGCAGTATGTAAATAAGCAAAAATATAATGAACATTTTATTTTCATTTCTTAATTTTCCACAAAATTATGACAAAACATGACAACGTCAAAAAACTCGCCATGCCTCTTAGTAAATACCTCAGACTGTCTACTTTATGAAAAGTGGTCATTTTGTGTGTATTTGTACTGTCCTGGCATTTTTGGGCCTCAAGAAATGAGATCAGCTGTCAGTACATCAGGATTTATCAATTTTTAGATACTGTATATACCATAGTTTGTGGAGTCTATAACGTTCCTACCAACTACATAATAAACATTGATTTGGGTTATTTTCACAAAAGACATGTAGCAGAATACATTTTGGCCTACATTTGTGTAGAAAGATTATTTATTTGCAAAATGTTGTAACAGAAATTAAGACAAATTATTTTTTTTTTTCGTTTATAGCACAAAAAAACCCCCAAAAAACAATGGTGATTAAATACCACCAAAATAAATTGCTGAAAGGTGAAAATTGGCCTGGGCAGGAAGGGGGTAAAAGTGCCCGGTAGGCAAGTGGTTAAATATGCTAGTACAGCTAACACTCCCCTCTTCCAAAATTAAAAAAGTTGCTGTCCAAATGTGGCCCCAGTGCTCCGTCATTCAGAATTGAGGCACACTAATACTGGAGGAGTGTTACTAACCAGATCACCAGGTGAAAACAGATTGGAAAAAAACTAAACAAAGAAAACAAATGCAGCTGCCACATCTAATAATTGTTAAGCTACACTATATTACATTTTTGGTTTAGGGTTTAATACCGCTTTAATGATTCTCTTTGATGACACATGGAGCTGAAATGACCAGTACTAGCATGACAAATACAATTTACATTTTTTAATAAACTGTAGAGTATACCTTCTTCGAGCTTTTTTCTTCTTTTGTGCCTGATAATGCAAAAAATAAGAGGTAATAGCAGAAGCAATATGAGAACAGGAGCGGCACATATCAGGATAGTGGTGAGTTCCAATGGACTCTCAGTTGGGTCAGTCTCTTCCACATCTGTGTCATTTGTACTTCCATACACAGTATGAAATTCAGTTGGTACTGTACTTGGCATAAAAGGAAATTCTGTGCTCTGCAGATCTTCCTGTAGAATATAAGAAGATATGATCTGAAGCATTGTTTCCTACATGTATAAGCATGGTTTTACAAAGAAATATGAGGTCAATTATTAAGCAAGAGAAAATTTGGCTTCATCATGTTACCCAATGTTGGTGGTCAAAAAAGATGTCCAATCTTACATTATTACATTGTTAGTCTGGCTGAAAAAAGACACATGTCCATCTAGTTCAACCAATAAAACGAAAAAAATATACAGTCCTATAAGCACAATCCTATATCCACAGTTGATCCAGAGGAAGGCAAAAAAAACCCAATAAAGCATGAACTACTTTGCTCCAGCAGGGAAAAAAATCCTTCCTGATCCCCCAAGAGGCAATTGGATATTCCCTGGATCAACTTTACCTATAAATGTTAGTATCCAGTTATATTGTGTACTTTTAGGAAAGAATCCTTTTTTAAAACAATCTACTGAGTTGGCCAGAACCAGCTCTTGAGGTCTATTCCACATTTTAACAGCTCTTACTGTGAAGAAGCCTTTCCATATTTGGAGAATATTAAATATATATAGTGCAGCGCTGGAATATCAATTAAAGATGAACATAATTCAATGAGTACAGGTAAAATAGTTCATAAAGTCCTTCCACAATAAAGTGATCATAGATATGTGAAGGTCTCCTCCTTATTAGGTGACTGGTATCAAACAGAAAAAATGCGCACTCACCGACCGCACATTTTAAATGCGCATGTGTATAATCTTATCCGGATGACCAGCCAGGCATGCAGATCCTAAGGACACACAGACCATCCCTCTCAAATACTGACATCAGCCTTGGGTGCAGTGATATACCTCCAGGTCCAGAGAGCCCTCTTGCCCCAAAAGATAGGTAGACAGGGGTCCCCCTCCTGGTACCCCAGAAATGGTAGATGCAGATCTGAAACCCTCCAGCAAGAGGGTCAAAGAAAAGAGGGAACGCCAATAGTGTAGTAGGTTCAAGAACTTTATTGGATCAACAGTAGTTAAGCCAGGGTCACATGCGCACACAAATACCATTAGCCATCAAGCAGACTGGTAAATATGAAAGATAAAAAACATGTACTAACCCGGCAAGGATCAAAGACCACCGGACCTCCTCGTGGTCCCAGTGGTCAGGAAGTCACACTTGCTACTGGCTCCTCCTGAGGCCTTTCGTGCTACAGCACTTCATCAGAGGGTTGGATGCCATAAGCAGTGTGACAGAAAACTTCCTTATTTAAATGCGGTTCACGCATGCGCGAAATCCCGCTCTATCGCTCAGAATCTAAAAAGTGGAACCGCGCATGCGCGGATGGCCACTATTTTGCCGTGGGTTGCAACTGTGCAGAATTAAACTGTGCATGCGCTGCCCGATCGCCGCCATATTGCCATGGATCAAAAGACAGTGAGCTGTGGAAATCAACAGCAACTGTCAGGGGGATATATATGAAGCACCCAAACAAGTGCAGGTACCTGCACTTGTTTGGGTGCTTCATATACTGTATATCCCCCTGACAGTTGCTTCATATATATCCCCCTGACAGTTGCTGTTGATTTCCACAGCTCATTGTCTTTTGATCCATGGCAATATGGCGGCGATCGGGCGGCGCATGCGCAGTTCCACTTTTTAGATTCTGAGCGATAGAGCGGGATTTCGCGCATGCGCGAACCGCATTTAAATAAGGAAGTTTTCTGTCACACTGCTAATGGCATCCAACCCTCTGATGAAGTGCTGTAGCACGAAAGGCCTCAGGAGGAGCCAGTAGCAAGTGTGACTTCCTGACCACTGGGACCACAAGGAGGTCCGGTGGTCTTTGATCCTTGCCGGGTTAGTACATGTTTTTTATCTTTCATATTTACCAGTCTGCTTGATGGCTAATGGTATTTGTGTGCGCATGTGACCCTGGCTTAACTACTGTTGATCCAATAAAGTTCTTGAACCTACTACACTATTGGCGTTCCCTCTTTTCTTTGACCCTCTTGCTGGAGGGTTTCAGATCTGCATCTACCATTTCTGGGGTACCTGGAACCAGGAGGGGGACCCCTGTCTACCTATCTTTTGGGGCAAGAGGGCTCTCTGGACCTGGAGGTATATCACTGCACCCAAGGCCGATGTCAGTATTTGAGAGGGATGGTCTGTGTGTCCTTAGGATCTGCATGCCTGGCTGGTCATCCGGATAAGATTATACACATGCGCATTTAAAATGTGCGGTCGGTGAGTGCGCATTTTTTCTGTTTGATACCAGTCACCTAATAAGGAGGAGACCTTCACATATCTATGATCACTTTATTGTGGAAGGACTTTATGAACTATTTTACCTGTACTCATTGAATTATGTTCATCTTTAATTGATATTCCAGCGCTGCACTATATATATTTAATATTCTTGTTATAAGGTCCAGTGATTCCTTGGAGTGTTTCAGCAGCTGATCTTTGAGCGCTCGCTTTACTTTTATTTCATTCCATATTTGGAGAATAAATCTCTTTTCCCCCAGATGTAAAGAGTGCCCTACAGTTCCTATCAGTATATGAACCACTGATGTATTTATACATGTTGATCATATCCCCCCTTAATCTCCTCTTCTCAAGAGAGAATAAATTCAGTTCCTTTAATCTTTCCTCATAGCTGAGATCCTCCATGCCTCGTATCAGTTTGGTTACCCTTCTCCAGTTCCCCAATTTTCGTTTTGTGAATTGGTGCCCAAAACTGAACTGCATATTCTAGATGAGGTATTACTAATGATTTGTAGGGGGGGCAATATGATATATCTCTCTCTGGAGTCTATACATCTTTTAACCCCCTCACGCCTAAGGGTAAAACAAATCTTAACATCTAAGCACAATTTTGCAACTTTGACATGTGTTAGTAAAACCGTACATGTCACCACAACTACTTTGTATATCCAGCTGAATTATACCTCGTTTTTTCAGGACAAATTCGGCTTTCATTTGGTGGCAAATGGTAATGGATATCTCCTGATTTTTTTTTTATTATCAAAGGAAAACTGGACCAAAATAGTAAAAAAAAACAAACATTTTTTTTTAAATTTAGCTGTGTGTTTCTTGTTACTACCATAACCTACCACCAAAGAACAACCCAAAATAAATTTTCAAGCTCTTGCGATCGCAGCGATACCATATAAGTGTATGTTATTTATACCCACAGTACAGCCCAGAAACAATAGTGCGCATTTGTTTTTTTTTTGTTTTTTTTTTACCTAAAACACACTGACACTAACTGACACTGATACCAATTAAGAAAAAAAAAATCCTGACCTTTGAACCTGATCTTTGACCCTGACCTTGACCCAAACACTAACCCTGGCACTGAACTTGATCAAACCTTGATCTAGGTAATTTGCCTTTATTTTTTATTGTATTTTTTAATATTTATTTATTTTTTAAAACATTTTTTCCCTGTATGCAAGGCAAGAGAGAGATACAACGTATCTCTCTCCACCATTCATAGAGGAAAACAAAACAAGGGGGGCGGGCTTCACAGTGACTGATCAATGTGATAGCCAATCAGAGGCTATCACATCGATCATGTAATCCGGAATCAGAAGTCCTGGGTCCTGATCGTTAGATTGGGACCCAGGGCTCTCAGTGACACCCCGATCTTTGTGCTGGGAGCGCGCTGTTTGGTGCGCTCCCAGCACAAAGACAGGTACGCAAATATGTGGCCCCATGGAAAAAAGCCGAGTTCTGTGAGGCCGCATATTTGTGTGACATCGGCTTCCAGGGGTTAATACAAGAGAGGCTTTTGCTTGCTTTAGAAACCACAGCTTGGCATTGCATGCCGTTATTAAGCTTGTGATCTACCAGAACCCCCAGATCCTTCTCCACCATTGATTCCCCCAGTTGTACCCCCCCTAGTATGTATGATGCATGCATATTCTTACCCCCCAAGTGCATAACCTTACATTTATCAACATTAAACCTCATTTGCCACATAGTTGCCCAATTAAACAGTGCATTGAGGTCGGCTTGTAAGTTGGAGACATCCTGTAAGGACGTTATTCCACTGCACAACTTGGTGTCATCTGCAAAGACTGAAACGGTAAAACTGCATTTTTAATCCAAGAACCTACATAGTTTATAAATATATTAAAAAGTAAGGGTCCCAACATTAAACCTTGGGGTACACCACTGACAACCCTAGACCATTCAGAGTATGAATCATTAACCACTACTCTCTGAAAATGATCTTTTAGCCAGTTTTCTATCAATTTACATACAGATTTTTCCAAGTCTGTAGACTTTACCTTACACATTAGCTGCGTGTGGGGAACTGTATCAAATGCTTTTGCAATATCTTTTGCGGAATTCGCAGTGTTTTCTGTGCGAATTCCGCACCGCATCAGAATTGTACCCCGTTCATGCGAACCACTGCGGGTGTGTATGCTAAGTTAACAACACCCCGAAAGCGGTCCGCAAAACACGGTGCGAGGTGGAGAATTGAAACGCATAGGTGTGAATACCCATGTGATCTGATTCTAGCATGGGCCCAAAAAAGGGTCCTGAACCTTTTTGGTGCAGGTGTGGTGTGGCTAGAGCCATACAAAATGTATGGCTCCAATCGCACCGCACACAAATTGCATGTGATTTGCACAGCATTTATTGATAGTTTTAATTAATGCAGGTTTATTGACACTTTAACCGCTTTGTAACAGGATTTCTCTTCTTTGATTCCATTCAATTTTTGGTAACACCGATGGATTAAGGCAGAATGTGCCCTAAACTAGATAGCAGCCCCCCCATCTCTTTGATTGACATTGATAAGGATTTGGCCAATTGTGTTGGTTTACTGGTGGACCATAAAGCGTGCCTGTGGATGATTTGGCTGTCTTTGCTGATCTCTGTACTAACATTCATTCATAGTGGTGGAATGGAGGCTGCAAAAATAGGTTCAGCATCTCTAAGGAGAATCTGGGAGATGTCACTTACAAGACATCAACATAGATGTTCAGCCTTATCATACAGAAGGATTAAAATGTCCTTTTCCATCCCCT